ACACATAGTTTGGACTTTGTTTTATGTGGTATTTCTTTAAGATAAGCTCCCTTTGTTTATTTTAAACATTTATCTTTCTATGATTTTAATGATAGTTTTAGTTTAGATAGTAATTTTTAAATTGCTATTACAGTCCTTTTTCTTTTTAAACTGGCTTCATATCCTAATGTTATTTCTTTTCTTTTGGAAGTATTCCTTAAAATAGTCTCTCTCTTTATGATGGCTTCTTGCCCAGATTAGTTTAATTCAACTTTCCAGGAATATCCATTAACTTAATTAATTTTATAAAAATACCCTCCATATATTATTTAATCTAAAATATTTTCAATTATAAAATGCACAATTGTTTTTCCTACCACTAATAAAGATAAAATATGCTGCCAAATATAATTGCAAGGAACCATTAATTAGCTGAAAGACATATCCTGATTTCACAGATATTAAAATGTTAAAAATTGTATAGTTTCGAATTTATAAAATACAGAAAAATCACTATCACAGCTTTACCATAAATTTCCAATCATACGTTTATACAAAGTTTTAAAATTATTTCTATGGTAATGGCAAAGGAATACTGTGTTGCATACTTACTATAGGACAATGGTATTGCATTTTTTTTTTCACCAAAAATATTCCGAGAGCTTTAGAAGGTGCTAAATGGAATGGAACTCCCAAAAGTCAGTATCTTTGTCTGTTTTGTATGTACCCCAAGCATCTAGAAGAAGGCACTCAATAAATATTTCTCAAATGAATTTATGAGTGAATTCATGTTTCATTAGAGATGTCATGTGTCTGTTTTAAGCAAAACCAAATCAAGCAAATAATAATTATTAATCAGTGAGTTCCTTATAAATGCCAGTTTATGTTTTCAGATATCTTGTACAGCATAGCTTCCTTCTCAAGCCTTACTTTTCACTTGTTGCCAACCTCTTTCTGCTACATTTTTATAAGTATTATAATGATATTTGTGACTCAGTCATGTTTGCAACAACTTTTTGTGAACTACCATGAAAAAACTGAATGACATAATAGGTCATTTATAGCTATCCATAGTTGCCTTACTTCAGAAGTTAAAAGGAAAAAACAAATCTTAATAAGTGCCTTGTAGTAATACACTTGGTCCACTCAGTAAAAAGTAGAGATTAGTGGGCCAAATATAAAAATAAAAAGTTTAGAAAAAGGACTAAGCTTGTGCGGTCTGAATTTTATTCTCATTCCATCTTCTCCTCCATTTCTAAGACATTTATGTAGCTTTGGAGATGGCTGAGTATAAAGTTATCCATATGTAATGCTGTTTAGAAAAATGCTCCTAAGCTATCAATCCCATAAATTTGGAAACCTCACATCTCAATAGTTATATTTAATTTAAGCCTAACATGAGTTCATTCTGATTCTTAAGGGAGAATATCAGAGAGGCTAAGGACATGGCCTCTGGAACCCAAATCTCTGGGCTTGAAACTTATCTCTAGCTGTTATTAGCTATATGGTCATGGAAATTTAGTGAACATTTTTGTGCCCTATTTTCATCTTTCTAATGTCATTGATACATCTCTTGTAGGGTTTTTATAAGGACTAAATAACACTTGTAAACTTTTTAACAGGTCCTTTCAAATAGTAGATGCTAGTGTTGGTTTTTCCCTGTTTCCCCTCTGGATCCACTGTGCTCTTCACTGCCCTGCTTTGTGTCCTGGCACGCTGACCTGCATGGTGTTCCTTACTTGGGCTCCCTTGCCCCCAAGACTTCTAGTTAGATTTTCACCTGGAGACAATGAAGGGATGGAAAGACAGGAGTGAAACTGACATAACTCTTCTCTCCACTTCTTCACTGCCTGATTGTAGTTTGACAGTGACTTTCTCCACCCTCTTCCTGTATGGAAATTCACAGCTACTATTGAATGGCCTCTCTCCCATGGTTCTAGCTATTGCCAAATCTTAGTACTACTCCCTCTCCCTCCCCATCAGACTTCAGGGTAGTCAAGACTTGCTGTGCACTTAGGCCCTGATGCATCAACACCTCTTGTTGATTCCTTTAACCCTATTTATATCCTTGTTAATAATCCCTTTATTTGACTCTCCTTAATTAATCATTTGTGTGTACCATTTATTTTCCCATCATAAACGGTATGGTGCTGAATTATTTAGTTTAAAATAAGTATCAGAATATTTCTTTCAAGTCAATGAAATATCATTCATAGTGATAGGAATGGGGGTTTCAAAACTTAGGTAAAGAAAATCAATTTTATTAACCTGTGTGTCATTATAGCATAAATGTCCCCAGCACTAAAGGAGGTGTGTGTAGAACTGGGACTAGATTGCAGTTAGGATGGAATAAAGACTGAGACGTCCCCTCAGGGCTTTACACATGAACCCTCCTCTTCCTTCTTGATAGCGTTGGAGGCAAGTTCGTGGAATACAAGGAAGTGGTGTTCATGTGGCCAAAACAAGTTCAATATAAACCAAATCTAAGTTTCAGGCTTTAGCGGGCGTCAAGATTTTGGAGCCGCTGGGTGGGTCGAGGGGAGAGTCATTCTTAGCAGAAGCCTGCAAGGCCACGTAAGTAAGACCTAGACCTGGAAGAGTACTTGTAGGAAGGAAATAAATAAGAAGGTCATGGCCGGTTTCCATTCAAACAGGAATTACAGGAAGAAACAGTAAGCCTCCAAAATTATTAAGTACAATGGCTACATATCGTGGGAGTGTAATAAGTGTAAGGCCTCTTTACATACTGATAAAGCCACACCTCCTCACAGAAGACCTGGGGAAGCATTGTTTCCCTATATCCACTCACTAACATGTTTGGGATCTGGGCAGGGTTGAGCTTACAGGACACGGAGGCCATTATGAGTCATGAAGGTGAGACTGGGGCATGAACACATTACCACTGCATGAAGCAATACCATTTTATGCATAGCAATCATTTTGTTCAGCCTGGAAATGAATTTAAAATAATTTGCCATATGCAGTTTTCCCAATAAAACTCAATGTCATCTTATTCAGAGTAAAGAATTTTTAGCCCTCAAACCAAATAAAATCCTATAGATACCTCAGTTCTCACACTTATCACAGTAGGGGTAGAGAGAGCATAATATAATGTTAAGAGGGAAGAGGTTAAGAGGTCTGGAGTCAGTTCGACTTCCTGGATTTGAATCCTAACTCTCTCTGCTACTTACTATCAGTATATCCTCCACATTTTTTTTTTTTTATCCAACCGACCTCTGGATGTCCCAGTTTCCTCTTCCTCATCCTTGGAATCAGAAAAGTATCTATTTCTTGGAAATACTGTTTAAGGACTAAAAAAACAAGACAGGCAAATAACTTCATAAAGTACCTGGCATATAGTAAGTATTTAATAGTTCTTGCCTGGTTTTCTTTTTGTATGTGCATTTCCCAACAAGATTCTATGTGTACCTTGAGGTATGAATATACCTATAAGATGAAGACATATACCTACATAATAGGTATATAATGTAATAATGTAATAGGTATAGGTATTATTCATTTTATATCCATTACCAAGTCTATCATACAGTAAAGTATTAAATAAATATTTGCTTAGTGACTAAATGAGGTTAGCTTGCCTTAGGAATATGAATCTCAATGACAAAAACAATGTATATATATTGTTTTTATTGAAGTTGTCTCCTGAGATTCCATGTTAATCACTAGAGAGGATACTATTAATAGTTCACTGCACTTTAAATGTCTGTCTTTTTTTTTTTTAATATTAGCACATCAGTGCAGATGCATATCCACAGCCTTGGGTACATACAGAAGCACCATCACATTCAAGTTGTCAAGTATTCATAATTTAATTATTTGCCAAAAAAGTAAAAATCTTACCAAATAATAACTAAGAATAAATTATAGGTACCAAAAATAGGGACTAGACTACTCATTTGAATATACTCTTACAGCGAATAATACAGATCTTTTTTTTAACAATGAAATTATGTTGAGTCCACTTAATTTGTATTAAACAATGTATAAGGGGCAGCCATTGCTGTTATAAACTTTGCTAGATATTCAATTGGCAGCAATTAAAAAAAAAGACTGGTTTCTTCCACCTACCTACTAATTCTGCAATTTATTCAGCCTGTAGAAAATACTTTTTCAAATTTAAAAACAAGTAGCCTTTTCTAAAGAAAAATGAAGTTAACAACTATGGACATTTTGAAACTGACTATAAAGTAGCATAAGCCTAAACTCATAGAAATAGCAAGGGAGAATGCATATTTTCCTGCTTTGTGGCTATTTAGACAGCATCCATTTGAGTATTTTCTTGTTAAAAAAGATTTCTATTAACATGTAATTTTATATGCCTTTTAGAAGAGAAAATAATAATATAGAGAATAATGATAATAGTTACCTTTCGATTTTCTAAGTAAATGTAATTGTATAATTATATTTATAATTGTATAATTCCATTTAATATTCACAGAATCTAGATGGTAAGCTTCATAAAGACAAAATCATATCTATCCATTTCTTTATTCATCAGTGGTCCCCAGTAGTCAGCACTGAGCTTGAATACAGTTGATTCTCAATAAATATTTATTAAACAATTGTATGATCTTTCCTTTGAAGTAGGTTCTTGCTAGAAAAACATTGTTTTAGTCTACCAATGTTTGAGTATTATTAAATGTACTACATTTGGTCAACTCTACCCTTGTTTGGCATGGTTACTCTTATTTATGCATACTTACAGTGACAGAATACCTGAGGCAGACCTTTACTTTATCATGTATAGCAAACTGGGACTAAAGTGTCTCAGAAAGTTACTGACAAAAGCACTGTAATTAAAAGTAAAGCCTGTAAAAATCTGATTCTGATCCATAGAAATTGAAGGTTGGAAAATATGACCATTAAACTTATCTTTGAAAGCATAGTCAGGATTTGTTAAAAGTTCTTTTAAGATTATGGCATCACTTAATAAAACATAAAGAAATGAAGGATAAAGTAACTTCTAGAAGCCAGAACCACAAGGCTCAGATCAGACTTACCAGAACAGTCACCACACGTAGAACCACTCCACGCATGTTATTCTCTAGTTTCTTGTCAGTCAGTGACCCATTCAGCCCTGTGACAGGATTCCAGCACCCAAGCTGAAAGGTAAAATAGGTTGGTCACTTTCCTGCCTGAAGAACAGTCCAATCACCTATGCAAAAGTCTTTCAGAAAACTGTGTGATATCTCTTGGAATAACTGGTATAGGAAGGGTCCTGCGCAAGTTTTCTTTTTTAATAGCAAATGAAGCAATCAGAAATTCCATTTCCTGCTTTTAAAAATCATTATATGGCATATGACAGCATCCAATATGCTTTAGGAGACTCTACTAAGGACATAGACTTAATTAGGAGTTACAATACACCAATAACTTAGTCCCTGTAATGCACTAATTGGAAAAATAATAGTGCATATAATTCTAGTATAATGTCTGTTCTTAATATATCAATTATTGCACAAGTTAGATTTTCTTATAGTTTCAATGGTTTTAATTAGATATTATGCTGCCTTTATTGGAAAAAAAACTGCATAATGTAAGATTTTTAATACAGTTAGAAGAATTTCTGCTTTTATTTGAGGGGGAAAATCATGTATATGGCTTTGTTGTTTTCAAGTATTCACAGTACATACAACAATATAATTTGCCTTTTTTGTCAGTGCTATCAATTTCCTTGGAGTATTTTGGCAGCACCCTTTCCCTTAAAGTCTTGCGATGATTCACTGCTCTTTACACTCCAAATACTGGTTAAATTTTACATCCTCACGTAGTTCTTATCTCTTCAGCTCAGGTCGTGATCTCCAAATATCCAAATCTGAGGGCTACCAGTTTTAAAATTGCTGCCCATAAATCACAACAGGATAAAAACTGATGATTCTCAATTCAGAAATAAGTAGAAAAAAAGAGATCTTGTGACTTGAATTAGCAGATGACCCAAGGAACAAAGCTGCAAAGAGAATGCTGTAATGCACATCTTGGGAAGAAATGCCATGCTATCAGTTCTGATACTAGATCCATGAGCCTTCACTTTTGGGAACCTATTCCATATCTGCATGCTTTAAAAATGTAACAGACCTTTCCTCATATTTGGAGACTGCTCTGCTTGACTGAATGGCTTATAGGGGCACCTGGTTATTTGTGCTGCTTCCTCCTGAAGACTGATTGATTTCCTTGCATTGCATTTTGTTTGTGGCTTCCAAAGTTGGCAACATACTGGCAAGTCTCCTTCACAAATAACAGATTCAGGTGCTTCCTATTAAAACTCAAGTTTCTCTTTGAGTCCCCAAGAGGTGTTTAATTAAGAAACCTAAAATATACACAATATATCTTAAGAGAAGGGATGTCACAATATAAACAAAAAGCCAGCTTTCTCTGTATTAAAACAATTTGGAAAGGGCTGCTAATTGTAGGTTTCAACTATAAAAGCACATTAAATTCATATAATGATATGCCATTCTTAGTTACCTAAAAAGTCTAATTAGAACTTAGATCCAATTAGCAAATCCAAATGTGTTGAAAGTCTAATTATCAGAGATAGTGTAGTCCTCTTGCCCAATTTAAAACCTTATAAAATTTCTTTTGAGCTTTTGTTCTCTTCCCAGGTCAACCAAAGTCTATGCTCAATTACATTCCTTGATGTGCACTTTTTCAAAAAGATTTTATTTTCTTAGACTAAATTAATACTGGTGGAAAAGGTGATTTATGACATTAAATGAAGACCTACTACACTATCCACCTTTTATAGTTCTATTACTTAATTCTAAGCTTAATGAATAGCTTTTAGGACATCATGTTGTTTAAGGTAAATATGGCTAAGTTACCAAAGTAAATACAAGGATTTCTTTTTTTGTCTTCCTTGGTGAATCTACTGTCAGTTTGCCTAAATAAATGACATCTATTAATGCCAACTTGACCATAGCATTTTGGTGATTGCCTAGTGAAAATATTTACTATGGAATAACAATAAAACTTGCTGAGCAATTTGTTTCAACAATGCTCTGGACAAACATTTAAAAATATATAATTTCTAGCTTCTTAATTACATCTTCCTTTAAACATAACTAAGTATAGTCAATGGTTTAAAAATTCTAAAGCACTCAAACATTTGGGATTTTGAAATAACAATAAAAATATTTGTCTTCAGACACAGGCCGTAACTTAAACATTTGTATACATATATCATGTGTACATATATAATGTTTCTTCCCACTTTTAAAAAAAAATTTGGCCAAGTTCTTTCTCATATATATTACAAGACATCATTTTCTCCTCTGCCTGATGATTTTTCCCATTTCTCTTTTCTCTCTCTCCTCACCCCCTGTGGCTTGCTATTTGACTCATGTGTCTTTTGATCATAGCACTTGTAAAGTTGTTTCTCTTCATCATAACAGTTGCGATTCTTAGGGTTGGTAACACCTTTTACTTAATTCAGTTCTTCATATGTACAAACTCTAACACTTAAAGTTAGCTGATATTAGCTATGGACACCAAGAGCTAGGAATTTCAGAGGTGAATTTTGAGGTAGAGAATGTTCAGAATACAGATTATCTGGAAAACTAGAAATAAAATATATCCACTTGTCACATATCAAAATGGGGCAAAACAAAGAAATCATTCAGAAATTAAGATAATACTTATTTCCTATATTGAATAGAACTATTTTTTTTTACATTTTTTGGAATCATTTCTAAGTGTTAGCCATGATACTGAGCTCCTTATACTTGATCTCATTTAAGCCTCAAAATAACTTTATGAGAAGGTGTTGCTACAATTTTTATTTTATAAACATAGAAACTAAGGGCTTACTAAAGTGACATAACTACTAAGAGATAAAACTAGGATTTAAACTAGTGCTTTTAAAAGCCCAGATTTGGGGCGCCTGGGTGACTCAGTTGGTTAGGTCATGATCTCCAGGTCCTGGGATTGAGCCCCGCATCGGGGTCCCTGCTCAGTGGGGCGTCTGCTTCTCCCTCTTCCTCTGCCCCTCCCCTGCTTGTCCTCTCTCTCTCTCTCTCTCTCTCAGGTAAATCAATAAAATCTTTAAAAAAATAAAAAATAAAAGTTCAGATTCAGTGCTTTCAATTCCAGTGCTGTTTTATAGCTTGTGAATTTTTTTCATAAATATCTATTTAAGGTAGGTAGAGAAAATACTATTCCTATATTTTAGTCAAAAACTTAAAGCTCAGAATTGTTAAGTAGCTGCCTCAATATAACAACTGGTGAATTCACATTTTGGCAATACAATTAAAAAGGCAAATCATCATCATCATCATCATTTTTATCGAAGAAATTATAACATGTACATAATGCATAGTATATAATCCTCTGAGGTCTTTACTTATATTAATTAATTTACTTCTCAAAACAATACAGTGAGAACGGCAATATTATTATCTCCATTCTACAGAGGGGGAAACAGAATTGAGAGACTGTGCTCCTTCTACGGTGTTATCTTTTATCCACTTAATCAGTCAAGAGGCATTGAGTAGAATAAGGAAAGTAACAGAAAAATGAAATGGACAAGAGATCCTCAAAAACATTTCTGGTAATCTCTACTTTGTGTCACCAAATTACTATAGATAAGTGTGGAACGCATCTCATTCATCATAAGCTCTATGATGCTTCTCAAAATGAACACCAGAAATGAATGAGGAAATAAACAACAGAAACAGAGAAAATGTTGATTATTCACATCTTTTTGAAGGATTTTTCAAGTTTTAAGATTCCTTAATTTCTGTTCATAGCCACTCATCTCCCTGAGGTTCCCTTCAAGCTTTTTCTGTTTGATTGTAATAGCTCTTTCCAATAATAAGCAATACAAATGAGTTAGGTTCACACAGATTCAAAATGAATTTGTATCTACAATGGGTCATATTCCTTGCAGCGTAGCCAGATTGACAGGCATAGTGTTTGACTAAAAAAAAAAAAAAAAAAAAAGCCTAGAAGAATTTCGTTTAAGTTCAAGTGTGAGGCTTATCTAACAACTTCTCTGATTTCATTGTTAGAAATTCTATTAACTTGATTTCTCTAGATATGTGGAGAAGGTTGTTTTTGTCTGATTGTGCTTTTATTTTTGGTTCCCCCCCTTTTTATTAAACAATGAAGCCAGAGACTAATAAAGATAATGCACACAGAATCTTATAATACTATCTATTCAGCTGAACACTTTCTAAGTAAAAAATAATAAAAGTAGCCCCTGCAGCACATGAGATTTACAGAAAGTCATACTGCTGATGGCAAAACAAGATTCACTATCTCCCATGGTCTGACAGTCTAGAGAAAATTTAGAAGGGATTAAAAAAATAAAGACCAATTCAATTTCCTTTCAATTACAGTATATCGATTTCCTATAGTATTATCTGGTTATTGCTGAAAGTCACTTTAAAACCTTAAAATTGCTTAATGCTTTAATTATCCCCTTCACTGGAGCTTTAGCAATAATAATCTTGTCGCTCTCTGTTAAAATCAATGTAATATCTTGTGTTCAACAAAATGGTTGCTGTATTTGCATGAGGACACTAATAGGCTCCTAACATGATGTGTCACGTCATTAGCAAATGAGCAAGTTTTAGATATTTACTCTTTTCCTTTCAATATTTCCTCTTTTCATTTGTTCATGGGCTTTAAAGGATGACGTTTGACTTGGTTTTGCATCACTATTTTTCAGGCAGTATTACAATGTCAAAAAAGAGCTGAACTGTTCAACTTTAATTTTATGGTTAATAGTCATAGGCCTTAATCACAGGAGTCAAGAGAGCTCTTAATTGAATACCAAATGGAATTCCCTACATTTATTAGCTTGTGTTCATATGGAACAAACAAAGTCTGGCTATAGTACGGAAGCTCCAGCTGCAGGACACAGACTATCCACCGCACTGCAGCTGTGGGCGGCCGGCCACTGCATTTCTTTTATTTGCTTTCTCAGCTTTCAAAGAAAAAAAAAAGGAACAATAAGGCATAGGCAAAGTAGCCGAAAGCTAACCATTTAGAAATGCACAGCATTTATTTGGTAGATATTACTTCTATAATGGGATAGAAAGTGTAAAAAGAAATACATATGGCAGGTTGGCTCAGATACATGTTTTATAGAGTTAACTTGGAA